TTTAACAATCTTCCAAGAGGCACTTGTCCAGGAAAATTGAATCTTATGAAGCGACAATCCTCAAGTAGGGTAGATTCAAATTTGCTCATATCTTTACTCCTAAAGGAGAATTGATAGTCAAAGTTTAACATAAGAATACATATTAGGAAAACCTTTTAAAAAAATTCATCTGACTCTCAAGAGCAGCAAGGTCATAATTAGTCATATTAATACAGAAGCATCTTTTGTTATTGTAGAATCAAAATTCTTCATATCCCGTAAAATTGGGTCACATTTATAGAACACAACATGTATATCAAAAAAATCTTCCAAAGTTATAATTGGTACAAAAAAAATATATGGAAGATTCTAGTTCGTTTAAACCATGACCTCCTTTTAATGGTAAGGTTTAGTGAAGGTACATATTTTGATTAAATGCTTTTTCAATACCGAAATGATACATGTAACTGTCTTTTCTCTAGCCAAAGTGCTCAGGTGAACAATGTGGTTAATAGGCGTCTTGTGTACATGTACTAATATAATGTTTCAGTAGAAATTCTTTAAGTGTTTTTTTTCAGTTGTGCATGTTTTCATAATAGACACTTCTCTTCATTTTTTTCAGGATACAATGGCCCGATCACAAGCCCAGGACATCATTCGATGTCAATACTGCGAGGACGAGCCCGCTGTCTTCCACTGTGTTCCGTGTGGAGATGAACTCTGTCCTCGATGTAAAGTCTTTCATCTTAAAAGTAAAGTTCCGTCCGGACACAACATCGTCCGTCTGTCTGAAAGACTTCATCCAACCAATCAGATCAAAATGTGTTACTTTCACACATCAAAAGCGTACGAAGCTTGTTGTAAAGATTGCCAAGTCCCGGTCTGTATTACATGCATTAAGGAAGTACACGGCGAACACACCATCGGGGAGATACTAGATCTTTACGAGAAACAAAAGACCGAAACTGCCGAAGAACTGACAAAGATGAAGACACAGTTGAAGTCGGAGATTATTCAGAGAATAAAAGATTTCAAAAGAGGAGAAAATGAAATAAAGAGCGGCCATGAGAACGTACGAGAGAAAATGAAGAAACAAGCTCAGGATCTAATAGATCATATCAGAGTCATTCTAAAGGAAGCCTTACAGGAATCTGAGAAGGATGAGAGAAAAAATAGAGAGGAAATATCCCAACATAAAGCAGAGGCTGACAAATTTGAACAAAACTTGGATCAGATGATAGAGAAATTTGAAACTCTCACAGAGTCAAGTCATCCCGCCGAATTAATTTTGTTTAGAAAACAAAATCCTGGTATATTTCAGCAATTGAAACTTCCAGACAAACTTAATATTGTTATGCCCTCTTTCACAGTTGGTCAAATTAAGAAATCTCAAAATGAGCAACAGTTTGGCAAGTTCATGACAGGTGACGTTAAACATGTTAAATCACTCGTTAAAAGCTCACAATCTAAACGGCCAACTTTGCCAGCAAAGAGAAACACATCCAACAAAACAGTACTGGGTCGTTCAGATAAAATAAGTGAAACAAAACCTCAAAAGAGAGAATTATATCACTTGAGTTGTCGTGATGAGAGATCAGCTTACATCAGTGGTAAAGGTCCTGGAATACAACTGATAGACAGGTCAGGGACAGAGCTGGATAACATCAGTACTGACGATCAACCAGATGGTTTGGCTGTGATGCAGGACGGAAGTCTGATTTATTCTGACTTTTTCGATCAAGTTATCTATAGAGTGTCACTCAACAAACAGAAAACTAAACTTATAAATACTGAGTATTATGCTACAGGACTGTGTTGTACCAGGTCAGGTGATATCCTGGTCTGTATGGCTGAGACCTTGTTTCATACAGCGAGAGTGGTAAGGTACAGCAGCAGTGGGAGGAAAACCCAGGAATTCCAGACAGATCAGACCGGGGAAAGTCTTTTTATGAATCCAAAGTTTGTCTGTGAGAATATTAACGACGATATCTGTGTTTCTGATTGGAAGTTATGTAAAGTGGTCGTGCTGAACAAGGTAGGAGGTCTTAGATTTAAATATGACGGAAATGTTCCGTCAAGGAGGTTAAAAGCCACTTTTAATCCCCGTTGGGTGGCTACCGACAGTCTGGGTCACATCCTTATCGCAGACAGAGACAATGACGCCGTACACCTGATCAGCCAGGACGGGAACTTCCTGTCTTACATCCTGACAGAGGATGATGGGATATCACGACCATGGGGGATCTCTGTGGACACGTCTGACAACCTGTGGATGGTAGAACAAGACAAAGCCTGTGTTAAAGTGTATCAGTATCTGTCATAACTTTGACTTTGTTTCCGGTATTGTCAACTTATAAATATACTTATACAATATACTATACAAAGAGTCTCGAAATAAAATCCAGTATGTCATTTTCAGTTGTAGTTAATGTATTTAAAGATATTATTTTAGAAATATTGTTAAACTGTTAAAAAGATAAATGTCTCTACTATACATGTACATGTACGAGGGGCTATCAAAAAGTTCGTGGACTAGCGCCATAAAATTAAAACCGCTTTAGGTACATGCATGAATTTTTAAATATCTAGTTATCATCATCTTTTCTATCTATAGAATAAATTAGAAATCATAAATTTCATCTTTTAATAAGTAAGTTATGTTTTTGTGAGCAATGGTATGTCTATGCGGCGCAACCTCGAAAACGACGTTTTTCCCGACCTAAGTGTAACTAAGAAAAATTATTGTAATATGAACATTTGACATCCAAATATTCCGTTAATTCAGGTATGTTTTGGGACACTTTTATTCCATAAAATATTAATTTTTTTACCTAATTTTTGAAGTTCTATGAAATTTTTTCGTAAAATTTACATGGAGTATCCCAAAAAATATTGCCTTTAAAATGACTTCAAAATGGGGGAGGGGTTACCTTTTCCAACATTCTATAAAGTTTTGCCAATAGAAAAACTGATATACACCTAGGAAATGTTTAAACCGGCTACGGAGAAATAATATGCATCTAAATTACTTGTTTTAATGCAAAAATAGATTCAGAAAGAAAAGGAAAGCACAGTTAATGTCGATTTGTAGTCAAGTCATAAAGTCATATAAACAATATGGATTGAAGTCCTTCTTCAGCTCCAGGGAATCTCGCCAATATAAGTGTATGAGATAGAAAAAGCAGACATTGAAAAACAATGACGTTCTTGGACGTCATAAAACTAAACGGCAACGGCGCCGGGTGATGATATAATGTCGTTTTTATTTCATAATAATTTGGGAAATAATGAACGTATCAAGCTAAAATTTTTAATATTTCTTTATTTTTTGTTTGTTTATTGTCCCTTAAAAATTTTGTAAGCTCAGACTACATAGTACTAATTTTATAGCCTCAGTCCACGAACTTTTTGATAACCCCTCGTATGTATACTAGATTTGTCACTTAACTGGGTTCCAGGACAGCACCTCACATTTTCCTTACCTCCTTTAAAGCTGACATGAATTCTTAAAAACACAACATTTTCATCTATGTACGACTTGTTTCATACCAACTATAGCCGTATTCCGCCATATTTCTTTCAGATACCTTGTCTCATTGTAACGATGTATACCCCAATGCGCTCGTTACACTTGAATGATTTTTTGGATTGGGTATCGACTAGTGCACATCTCCGATGGTAAAGCATATGAGAACACATGAGGTGATCAAGACATTTCAAAACCAAAATAAACAACATAATAATCATATTTTTGAATGATTATTGATTTGAATCAAAAGAAAAAAATGCAAGTTTGGAAGAGAAATTTAGATGCACGAGTACGTATTTTTACAGTGCGCCAATTTATGCAGAATAAACTTGAAATAAAAAGCAGTAAAATTTGCAAACACATTTTGAAATTATATCATTTTAATGGAACAAAACAACAAACGTCTTATATTTGCAGGTCCTATGCAATTGATGCATATCGAGAAAACGCCTCGAACGCTGTAAACGTACCCATACCTGGTAATAAGGTTACTGCATCGGTTCGAAGATGTGCACAAGTCAAGTGATATACACCCTGAATTCCATTTATTGAAATATGTATCACAAAAAAGAAATAAACTCCATAAAAGCTCAATAGTAAATACACTGTCATTACTCCGTACACACTAGCACGACGATACACTTAGTCCGTGCTGATCAGATTATATCAAAAGTGGAAAGAGAAGTTATTTGGTATATGCGCGACTGAAAGGAGGGATATTATAACTGATGTTCATAAGCTATAATTGTGAATTGTTCATCTACATGTAGTTCTAATATACATTATATATAGTCTGCAGTTGGTTTGCGTCGCAAAATTCATTTGTCAATTATAACTGATTATTTTAGTACTAATCTCAAATCTAAACCAAGTAATTTGATGTACGGCAATAATTTACTTCAAATCTTAAAACCAATTAACCAGAATACAAATTTTTATGTGTATATCTATACATTCTTTAACACATACACACACGGAGAAAGGCCATCCCCTGTTCAGATTGACATTTAGGCATTTGATTTTTTGGACGGGGGGGGGGGCATACAAAAATAATTGACATGAACGTTATTTAAATATTCTTGGAAGACAGACATTTCTGCCGAATTCAGTTTTGAGATTTTTTTTAAAATGTGTCACTCCGACCACAAAGTATGTGCATTTTGAGGAATGTAACTGTTTTATAATTATGTTGTCACAGGAAGTATTTCGAGATTTCAGTATCCCTGCCTGATAGTCTAGGTATTTTTTATATACATAAATAATTTCTGTAGGTGAATTTGGGAGATAATTTTAAAAGCTTAGGTAGGGATACTTGACACTGGTTGAATACGGATAATTATTATTTATTCTTTTTTTTGTATATTGAACTCTCTCTCTATCTCTCTCTCTTTCTGTCTGTAACCACCCGTTGGGGCAATGATAGGTATAAAATCCTACGCACTTTTTGCTGTACCATTTATTATGCCTAAGGACAGATCAAGGATTTTTTTCAGGAAGGTTGTCGAAACTTCATAAATTGATTAATAATTTTACTTTGGACAGAAATTAACCCCAGCGCCCAAATTGAAAGAGAAACTAGACGTACATGTATTATGAGCAATGACAGGCGCGGATCCAGGAATTGAAGTTAGAGGGGGTGCCAAAAGTAGGCAAGGGGTCAGGGGGCTGCCTTGAGGCCCCCAGTGGGTCCTGGGTTCTAGAAATTTTGTAGGGTAAAATTGACGTCTACCAAGTAGACATATTTACATTTTCTAGACGAAACTGTGATTTACTTAACTTTGACAATTTTAAGGGCGCCCCCCTTAAATCCGCTACTGAATGAGCTCACTAAATGATACCCCCTGTCTTCCATATGGTTATAATGACAAGAGTCCATATTTCGCTGAACCCATACGTGTCAGATCAAAAAGTAAAATAGGAGGTGCATAATGGTAATATGTTATAAACTTAAGATTCTTTGAAAGTTTCATTAAATTTCTCTAAGTGGTATAAGAGGATTTGCGGATAAGAGATGGGTACCCCAAAGCGTAACAGACAGACGAACGGACATTACGATTACTATACAACCTCCCACTTTTCAGGCGGGGGAGATAATAAACGTGAAATATACATCACAGGAATGGGAACATTGGGAACTTTCTCGAAAACCTTCTCAAACGTATGTGTCGAACTTGGACAACAGACAAGAGAATTTTTAAAAAGCTAGTTTTAGGTAGAATGTGGAATTCTCACGAGGAGTTTACTCTTTCTTCCTATATGCCTTTTCTAATAATCATTAATTATTTATGTCTAGAAATTTACTTCACATTAAATTTTATTTTCATTATCATTGTACCAAAGAATCAAACTCGTTTATTATACCCCACGTGTGAGGTATAATGTTTTTGACCCGTCAGTCAGTCTTTTTTTTTTTTTTTTTTTTGGTCAGCGCAACCTCTCATAAACCACTGTACAGAGTTTTGTCGAATTTTGCAGATATTTATAGGAGACAATGTGTGTGTAGATTTGCACATCACCAGGAAATTCCGAATTCTTTATTTTTCGGGAATTTCCGCACTTTTACATTTAGATTTTGGCCATATCTTGAATATAGAGGTGAGCAGTTTGTCAGCGTAACTCCTCATAAACCGCTGCACACAATTTCATCAAACTTTGCAGATATTTAGGGCACAATGTGTATAGATGTGCATATTACAAGGAAATTACGATTCCTTTATTTTTTTCTGGGAATTTTAGCACTCCGACTTTTTGGGGAGCGTGGGGTATGTGAACGTGCTCCTTTTTTTTTTCTTTCATAGTGCATAAAATCATAAATAACTTTAAATCAAATTATATTAGGTCTAATAAAGCCAATACACAGTATTTATTTGATAATAATTGATCATAAAGAAATCCAATCTGTTTCAGACGTTTTTCTTAAATTATTTTTATGAGAGTGTTATTATGCATGTTTTATTACATCCCCCCCCCCCCCATATCACGGGAAAATATCTTCAAAAGGTGAATGATTCGTAATATTGCCTGCTTTTTTAAATGAATTTGGTGAAGTTAAACCATGTACTTTATCGTAAATTTTATTTACAACATGTACAGACAAGAGTAATGTTTATTTTTGAAAAAAACTACTTGCATTTTTTTTTAATCAACCCCACTGAATTTCAACCTTTGATATTTTCCCTGACCAAATAAAATGATCGGCATGGGCCACGTGTATCCAAGCATCTTTTACTGTTGAGTTAGCAATGGATTACATGACTTCTGAGATGCATTTTTCAATAAAAGTAAAATAGGATAATTCTTTCGACATGTGCACATCCCTGTAACGATAGCAGTTGTCAGGTAAATGTTTTTATCACTGCGTTTGACGCGTTTTCTCGACCTGCATGGGTGTTTGGTGTACATGTATGTAGTCTGTGTTAGTTTATTTTCTATATTGCAGCAAATGCATTCAAAAATAATTTAATTCTCGGTATAGTTCTATTTTTTGTTGAATTCTTTCTTTTTAAACATGTATTGGGTCAGTTTATGGACTTCTAAAAACTATGCTATCGGAGATGTGTACATGTCGACAGCCAGGCTAGAAAATCATTCAAGTGAAACAATTCTGCAAGGCTATATATAGCAGGTGCAGGTGGCCAAAAATCTTCGATTAAATATGGCGGAATCGAACAAATATGTCGGACAAGGGCGTACAGGAATGTAGTAAGTCGTACAAAGATGACAACTGATGCCTTTTTAAGAGTTCATGTCAGCTTTAACCAAAATTGCAGTAAAAATATGAGTGTCTAAATGGCTTCATACAATTCACTCAGCAAATCTAATGCAGATACCAATCACAGTATACAAATCTGATTTTACCACAGTATCTAAGATATTGAGGGTGCTTGCTTAAATTCATTCAATATACATGTAACTACTTTTAATAAGAACGCGGTTGAAGTCCATAAATTCTGAAACGGCTAGAGGATAATAGAAGGGTACATAACACTACAAGGTCGGTTGTAGGAAAACTATAAACAGAAGACGAATGCCAGAATACTATAAGATATATAGTACAAGAATTGATTACCTTGTATGTTGATGAGACACTTCTTGAAAGAGAATATAGATGTCAAGAAAAGATGGAATTTCAGAAGGAATGTAATAGGTCGGATTTAAAATCAACCCAAACTTCTCTTCTTTGACACCTGCTTAAAAACTTATATGGATATTGAATATTGAAAATAAAGACATTTTATGCTTACTTGGAAAATTTAGATCTGAAAAAGATAAAAGAACCAATTGAATGTATAAATACATAGATTCTGTCATCATGTTTATGCATGCTAAGCCATTTAAATTTATACGTCATGTATAGCATCACTTTTTGTATTGTTTTGTAATCATTGACATTCTTCTGGACAATCGTATTATGTATGATCATTGACACTGGGAACAATATTATCATGTAACTTGGTCATTTATATAACTGTTTAAAAAATTATATTGTAAAAAAGAATGCTTAAATTGTACATTTATGTATGTTGAAATTACCTTCGGGGCCCTTGATTGGTAAATAAAATATTTTGTATCTTGTATTTTATAAATTTGCCCAACAAAAATTCATAGGGATTCAAAGTCTAGGGCATTTAAAAAAAAGGTGAAATGTTGCTGTCGTCTTCACCTAAGTCAATAATCGTCTTGACGTTCAGCATGTTCAGGAAATAATTTGAAGTTCACAATCAGATAATACACTTACACATTGGAGATGAATCTTATTTTCTATTCGGCTGCCAAAAAACAATAATCCTATACATTTTGATTAACGTTTGAAAGGAACATGATAACGTTTTTTTTTTTTTCCGAGGAAAAATACCGGTATCAAATAGGGCGACTTCGATTCAAACCCGAGTATTAACTCTTGGTTGACGTCACATGACCGGATGTTTACACAAACATGTGGTTTTCAAGCGAACTCATATGAGTTTGAAGGGTAGCGAAAATAAAATAAATATCCTCTATGAGTTTTAAAAGGCGGTCAAATAGGTCAATTTTGACATCATCTGTTGAGTTAATTTTTTCTATAGCTTTTGCTGCAGTTGAAATGTTTGTCTTTTCAGCTCTAAACTTTTTTGGTTTCGAATTTGAATTTATGTCTCTGCTGTTATCGGGCAGTAAGCCTAAAAAATCTAATCAAATAAACAGATATATTCATATAAATTATAAAGCGTTCATGTAGAAAGTGCGTTTTGAAGTTTGCTTTTAAGGATAAGCGATGCTAAATATTAATATTTAGTAAAAAAATAATTCCTACGTTCGGGTTTTTCTTTCGATGCCGCCATATCGAAACTCTAGTAATCCTACTGTATTGCTGGGTTAGCTTGGGTAGAGTTCATAAGGTCATATGACGTATTTTGAGTAGTAACTATGGTCGTTCGATTGAAACCCATGTAACTCGAGTACGTACTCGGCGAGTACGAATCGAAGTCGCACATAGTTTTATACTAAAAGGGTAAAGTGTTGCTATAATATCAAATATCCAAAATAATTGAAAATGAAAATAAAATAAATATAACACACTCATTTATTAAAAAAATATATTATACCTAAATATTGCACAAACTTAATGATTGTTTGATTCATGCATGCATGTATCCTCATATTCTAGAATATTGTATGAATATATGAACAATTGAGGATTTCTACTTGTTTTTTCTTTGCCGATTATAATTTTAAAAGACATATTTGTGCTTATTAATATTGCTATTTGCATGTAAATGTTCATAATATAGAAATATTCTAATTCAAGTCACCGGTAATACCCAAAATAAAATATACACATTGTATAGTCTAAGCAGAAAATCAACGTCAATATAATTAGAGATTTCTTGAATGTGACTCCTAGTCAATATCACTGATTGTTATGCCTTCTTTTACGGTTGGTCAGATTAACAAATCTCAAAATGAGTATCAATTTGGCAAGTTCAAGAACGGAAGAATTAACCACATTAAATTGCTCAATGAAAACTCACAAGCTATATTGCCTTCTTTTTCTGGAAGAATGGAAACATCCAACAAAGAGTACTGGGGCGTTCAGTAAGAATTGGCGAAACAAAAATTCAAAAGGAAATGTTATATCACGTGCGTTGTCGTGATGACAGATCAGCGTACATCAGTGGTAAAGGTCTTGGAATACAACTGATAGACAGGTCAGGGACAGAGTTGGATAACATCAGTACTGACAGAGTACCATATGGTCTGGCTGTGATGAAGGACGGAAGTCTGATTTATTCTGGTGGCTTCAATCATTTTATCCATAGACTGTCACTCAATAAACAGTTTACAAAACTCATAAATACCGAGTATGAACCTACGGGACTACTTTGTATCAGGTCAGGTGATATCATAGTCTGTATAGGTTCTTATGTTACTGCAAGAGTGGTCAAGTACAGCAGCAGTGGGACGAAGATCCAGGAATTCAAGAAAGATCAGTACATGGAGAAACTCTTTACTGATCCAAAGTTTATCTGCGAGAATGTAAACGATGATATCTGTGTTTCTGATCAAGGAAATGTGATCGTACTGACCAAGACTGGACAACTTCGATTTAAATATGACGGGAAGGTCTGGTCAATATTTCAACCGTATGGTGTGGCTACCGACAGTCTGGGTCACATCCTCATCGCTGATAACGCCCATAACGCCGTACACCTGATCAGCCAGGACGGTGACTTCCTCTCCTACATCCTGACAGAGGATGATGGGATTTCACAACCACGAGGGATCTCTGTCGACAGGTCCGACAATCTGTGGTTGGTAGAACATGAGAATGCCTGTGTTAAAGTGCATCAGTATCTGTCATAACATTGTCTTTGTTTCCAATATTGTCAACTTATAAATACCTATACAATATACTATACAAAGTCACAAAGAGTTTCGAGATTAAATTCAGTAGTTTATTTTCAATTGTAGTTAATGTATTTAAAAATATTATTTTTAAACAAGAGGCCCATGGGCCACATCGCTCACCTGAGAAGCTTTGACCATTCTGTTCTTTACCAGATTTCCCCCTTGTTATACATAATGCATCCCCACCCTACCCCACTGATCATAATTTAGACATTTTGAAATCTACACTACCCCATGATCCTTCCATGGGCACTTGTGTTTCAGTGTTTTTGGCCCAGTGGTTCCTGAGAAGAAGATTTTCAAAGATTTTTCCTATACATTTCTATGTAAAAATTTGATTCCCTATAATGGCCCCACCCTTTCCCCGGGGGTCATGATTCCTACAATTTAGAATTTACACTAACCCAGAATGCTTCCACATAAGCTTCACTTATTCTGGCCCAGTGGTTCTTGAGAAGAAGATTTTCAAAGATTTTTCCTATATATTTCTATATAAAACTTTGATTCCCCATTGTGGCCCCGCCCTTCCCCCGGGGGTCATTATTTGAACAATTTAGAATCTACATTATACCAGGATGCTTCCACATAAGTTTCAGCTTTTCTGGCCCAGTGGTTCTTGAGAAGAAGTTTTTCAAAGATATCCATATATATTTCTATATAAAACTTTGATTCCCCATTGTGGCCCCGCCCTTCCCCCGGGGGTCATTATTTGAACAATTGAGAATCTACATTATACCAGGATGCTTCCACATAAATTTCAGCTTTTCTGGCCCAGTGGTTCTTGAGAAGAAGATTTTCAAAGATTTTTCCTATATATTTCTATATAAAACTTTGATTCCCCATTGTGGCCCCAACCAACCCCGGGGGTCATGATTTTGACAATTTAGAATCTACACTACCCCAGGATGTTTTTACATAAGCTTCAGCTTTTCTGGCCCAGTGGTTCTTGAGAAGAAGATTTTCAAAGATTTTTCCTATATATTTCTATGTAAAACTTTGATTCCCCATTGTGGCCCCGCCCTTCCCCCGGGGGTCATGATTTGAACAATTTAGAATCTACACTACCCCAGGATGCTTCCACATAAGTTTCAGCTTTACTGGCCCAGTGGTTCTTGAGAAGAAGATTTTTTAATGACCCAACCCTATTTTTGTCTTTTCTTGATTATCTCCCCTTGCGAGGGGATATGTCCCTTCATTTTTACAATTTAAATTCCCCTTCACCCAAGGATGCTTTGTACCAAGTTTGGTCAAAATTGGCCCAGTGGTTCTTGAGAAGAAGTCGAAAATGTGAAAAGTTTACAGACGGATAGACAGACGGACGGACGACGGACAAAATGTGATCAGAAAAGCTCACTTGAGCCTTCGGCTCAGGTGAGCTAAAAATTGTTAAATTGTTAAAAAGATAAATGTCTCTACTATACATGTACATGTATGTATACTAGATTTGTAACTTAATTTGGTTTCAGGACAGCGAATCACATTTCCTTAACCCCTTTTTAAAAAAATTGCAGTAAATATATACAATAGTGTCTAAATGGTTTCATACAATTCACTCAGCAAATCTAATGCAAATACCAATCACAGTATACAAATCTGATTTTACCACAGCATCTAAGATCTTGCGTGTGCTGTCTTAAATTCAGTCAATATACAAGTACACTGTAACTACTTTTAAGAACACATTTAAAGTCCATAAATTTTAACTGGCTATAGAATAATAGTAAGATACATAACACTACAAGGTCCGATGTAGGAAAACTTTCCACAGAACTTAAATGCCAGAATACTATAAAATATATATACAAGAATTGATACGATTGTATGTTACAATGAGACACTTTGAAAGAGATTATAGACGTCAAGAAAAGATGGAATTTCAGAAGGAATGTAATAGGTCGAATTCGTTTTTGCCCGTACTTTATAGGGATTCATAGTCTAGGGCGTTTAAAAAGGTGAAATGTTATCGTCTTCACCTAAGTCAGTAATCATCTTGAAGGTCAGCGTGTTCAGGAAAAATAATATGCAGTTTACAATTAGATAAAACACAGGAGAGATTGAAGATGAATTTCTTTTTCTATTATATGCCAAAAAACAATACTCATACATTATTTTAGATTAAAGTTTCAAAAGAACTTAATTTTTTTTAAAGGAAAAATATCAAATACATTTTATACTAAAAAGGCCAAGTGTTGCTGTTAAATCAATTGTCCAGAAATAATTGTAAATGAAAATAAACTAAAAATAACACACTCATTTATTTAAAAATACATATCATACCTAAATATTACATAAACTTAATGATTGTTTGATTCATGTATGCATTATCCTCATATTCTAGATTATTATATAGTCTATTTATAGTTCCTATATAATCTATACAAACGCAAACAGTTCATAACACTACATATTTACATTTGCAAATGTTTTTCTTTATATAACACTACTGAAAGGAATGCGTATCTATAACTGTATAAATACAGGTACGGGGACGAGAGGTCAAAGATGTGCGTATGGATAATCGTTTGACGTAATTTCTCAGTGACGTCATAAAGGGTCGACGCGCGTTCAGTGGATTACGTACTTGCCGTTGAGTTTGAAAAATAATGCATTCTCACACGCTAAAAGTCACAGTCAGGCAAATATAAAGTATGAATAAGTCACAAATGTAAATATAAGTAATAAGGTATCATTTTAAAACATCTATCGGGCTATAAATACGGGTTGGTACGAGATTAAATTCATCATAAAGCCCTTCGGACTTTATGGAATTTAATCTCGTGACCAACCCGTATTTATATTCCGATAGATGTTTAAAAATGATACTTATTTCTTAAATTTATTCACCGGGTTTGAGGCCGTATTCACCGGAGGGTCAATGCGCGTGCAACGGCATTGTGACGTCACAATCAAAATATCAAACAACGCTGTAAACGATGGTTGCAACGGCCGCAGCGAGCTACGTATCTGTGCAGGAAAACAATTATTCAAACCTATTACAGGATTATTTTTTAACATCTGGACGTCTTACACATAGCGAAACTGGACGTCTTACACATAGCGAAACACGGAGGCTACAAACAGTAATCTGGAGATTTTTTTTATTTTCAACAATGGAAGATCGCCTCGGTCAATATGAATATTTTTCTGGTGAATAACAAACCATATTCAACACCAAAAGAGTCCATAATTGTATAATATTGTATGGATGTATGAACAATTTTTTTTTTATTTGTTTTGTCTTTCACAATTATTATTTTAATTGACATATCCGTGCTTATAAATATTGCTTTTGCATGTAAATGTTCATAATAAAAAAATATTCTAATTCAAGACACCGGCATATTTTAAAAATTAACGTCAAGCGCAGTAATACGTTTTATGACGTAACTTATTGTGCCGTACACAGCTAATGTTATATTTTAAAGTAAATCTTTTATCCAATCAATGACAACTTACATGTTCAACTAAAATCAAATCATTTTATAATGGTAATTAAAAGGAAAGTTTACGATAAAAAGTTTAAAAGCTGAATTGGTTATGTTTCTCATTAAATTAAAATTATTTATCCTTGGTAGGTCACCTGAGTAAACTCAGTGACCTATTGCTTTCCGTTTTCGTCCGTCATCGTGCGTCGTCCATCGTGTGTTAACATTTTAACATATTCAGCTTCTTCTCTGAAACCGCTGAACCAATTTCAACCAAATTTGGTACACAGCATCTATGGGTGAAGGGCAACAAAAATTGTGAATATTATGGTCCCCGCCCCCCTGGGGCCTTAGGGGTGGGACCAAAACCACTAAAATTAGTGCAATCTTTAAAAATCTTCTTCTTTACTCCTGGACATCAAGCAGTCAAACTGTTTGCATGATTGTAATAAGCATTGAGTCCTCTTCCAAAATTGTGAAATTCATGGCCCTGGGGTCAGGGGTTCTAGTGCTAGGGCGGGGCTAAATAAATATATAGTGAAAATGCATTATTTCTTTGAAAATCTTCTTCTCTGCTCCTGGGTATTAAGTAAACTAACTAAGTACATAGTTATGATGAGCAAGAGTGCCTCTTCCAAAATTGTGAATTTTATGGCCCCAGGGTCAGGGGTTCTGGTGTTAGGGCGGGGCTCTATTGATTATATAGTGAAAATGCATTAATTCTTTGAAAATCTTCTTCTCTGCTCCTGGGTATTAAATAAACTAACCAAGCACATAGTTATGATGAGCAAGAGTGCCTCTTCCAAAATTGTGAATTTTGTGGCCCCAGGGTCAGGGGTTCTGCTGTAAGAGCGGGGCTCTAGTGATTATAGTGTGAAAATGCATAAATTCTTTGAAAATCTTCTTCTCTGCTCCTGGGTATTAAATAAACTAACTAGGTACATAGTTATGATGAGCAAGAGTGCCTCTTCCAAACTTGTGAATTTTATGGCCCCAGGGTCAGGGGTTCTGGTGATAGGGCGGGCTCTATTGATTATATAGTGAAAATACATTAATTCTTTGAAAATCTTTCCTTTGCTTCTGGGTTTTATGCCAATGATCCAAGTGTATATATTTATGATGAAGAAAGGTGCATTTAGCAAAATGGTTATTTTTTTTTACCCCCCCCCCTCCCTGGGTCGGGGGGTGGGGGGGGGGTACATAGTCTGAAAATAAATTAATTATTTGAAATCTGCTCTTTGGTATCATCACCCATTTTATGATAAAATTTGCAAAATTTTGAAATATTTGGCCCCAGGGTCAGTGGTTCCTTTGGGATGAGGTGCACAACTGGTTATAAAGTGGAAGTGCATTTTCTCTTTGTTACTCTGATCTACCTCTGGGTATTAAGTAAATAGAGTAAGCATGCTAAGTCTATAATTATGATAAGCAATTAGTGCCTCTTTTCAAAATTGTGAACTGCGAATTTCATGGCCTCTAGTTTAAAACACGAACCAAATTTAATTGTTTGAAAGTTGTTGCACAATACTC